AAGTGATCAAAAGACAGATGGAATAGTCACTATCTCTCAGAATTAAGGCCAATTACATATGCTTCAGGGACTTCAATATCAACACAAAGTCATTCTCCCACACAGTCAATGTTACTAATTCTGTGAAACACAGAAGTAACAGATTTTAAGAACTTGTCAAATTCAAATTCAGCCTGCTAAGCAAACACAGAAACAACAATTAAAAAAAAATCCTATGTGTGGGGAAAAAGGCCTAAAGGTAGTATATATAATTTGGTACATGTATATCAAAATATTTAAACAAATAAATATGCTGTGACTATTCCTCTCAATAAATTTTGAAAGATAAATTACCCAAGGAAATCAAACACAGATAGTCATAGGACCAAATAAAAGTATTTGGTATAAAAACTAAATTATTTATTTTTCAAGTGTAGTTTTCAAGTCTATTCAAATTGTATCTTTAAATATTATAAACAAGAAAAATGTATTAACTTGAAGAATAAAGGCTTACTGGCATTTTCAGGAAATTATAAGATAAACTTTCCACACCATCCCCCAACCCTGCCCTAAGTACTGATCACCATGTAAAACAGCAGCAGTGATTTTAACGTGTAATCTGCACATGGCAGACGTCAGTACAGGTTATTTTAATACTCAGCACTTCATTTCCTCAGATTATAAAATAAGCTCAGATGTAGCAAAAATGGTTGCTAAAAGAAAAGAAAAAAAAGTGATTAACAATGAACTTAGCATAAGTGTCAGGGGTCAGAGCGTTGAACAGAAGAAAAGCAGCTAAGGAAGTAAAGCACAGTTCTGTACTTAGCTCTGTCTTTAAGTGACATTGGACAAGCCAAGGAATCTCCTCCAACTTAGTTTACTATAGTGGTTTTGCTCTATAGCTAAGAATGGTTCAGTTTAGAGAGACATTTACATGAGAGTTGGAATGTGGAAGAGAAATAGTGGATAATAGTCTCTGGAAGTCATGCTGGTTTTTGTTTTTTGGGTTTTTTTTAATTGAAGTACAGTCAATTACAATGTCAATTTCTGGCATACAGCACAATGTCCCAGTCATGCCATCCTGTTTTAAACAGCAGTGAAATTACCACATAGAGGGGCTGGCAGATTCCAGCTTGTCCTCATTCTTCCCAGCTCCGTGACCAGCTCCTTATCCAGACCGCTGGCCCTGCTGACCAACAGCAACTGCAGGTTCAACTCCAGAAGCAAGCGAACAGACTCCCATGGACTTCTCTAATAGCCTCTGTGCCTGGTCCCACTGCTGCTGGAACCTGGCTTCCCAGGTTCCCTGGAGTGCTACTATTTGCACTATTTTTTTTAACCCAGGTCACCCAGCTTCATCCACAATTGGGTACCATCTTATTCCTAAAATAAATCCCTTATGTTACAATGATTATAGTGGTTGTGCTGCCCTGACTGAACCCTGATGTATTTCCTCAGCTGAAAAATTAAGATTATGGAAGCAAAAGATCTTCTAGTTTTAAAATCTGATGATTCTTTATGCTTAACTTCCCTGCTTCCTTCTCCCCAACTCACACACATAAACACATTATGATCAAAGACAAAATATGAGTAATGTATCAGGAGGAATAAATGAAAATCATTATAAAAGTTGCCATTTAATATTAATTAGGGGAGGGAGCAAATTATTCTTCGCTGTGTATCTTTTGAGTTCTACCTGTAATATCTACTGAAAAGCAAAAGCATAATAATGTTAAGGTTCTGTTTATATTTCTGTTAAGATTAACTGGCAGAACTGAGCAACATCAGATCTAAAATTTCTTGTCTTCATTTGAATCAGTATCTCTCAGAAACACTCACGTTCAGTCACTTGATTTATTAGTCCTACTTAATCATCTAATCATTTAATCTTTCATTAATTCATTCAAATCTTTACTAAGTGCCTGTTATGTGCCAAGTTGTTATCATCTGGATGTTCAGAAGTGAATAAAACAAGCCATGTTTTAATGCTCCTACTCTTTGGATCTACTGCTTTCTTAGTTCAAAATGCCCCCATCCCTCTCCTGCCACGCATCCTTTGTGGAAACACATTCAGAAGCCATATACTCTGTGAAGCCTTCCCTGAAAACCTACCCATAGAGTTAATCATTCATTTCTTTCTTTAAATTCTTTATTTGTACCTATGTTGATTTTACATTAATTTATTGTTTGTTTCTGTGTTTATGTCACATCTGTTAGACTGAGATGTCCTATGTTCATGCAATGTGTTTATCCCAGCCTTGCTGTGGCTCTTCCATAATCCTAAATATCCTTTATTTATGTCTATCAGAGTACTTTCCACATTGTACTCTAATAACTAATTAACTAATCTGTCTTTTTGACTGGATGCTGAGCTCTGTAAGGGATAGGGACATATTAGAAGCTATTTTATTTTATTTCTTTAGTGTATATACTGGATGCTTGAAAGTCTGTTAACTTTTGACAAGGGT